TTATGGGGATATGTGGCTCAATAGAGCTGTGACTCTGTCAGCCTGGCTACAGTGCTGAAGAGGAACCTGGGGTTGTTCTTATTTTCTTCTATTAGTGTTGAGTAATAGGCTCCTCTGGCATTATGGAGGGCCTTTCTATAGGTTTTAAGATTATACTATTATATTATAATTATTGTAATAGTAATGATGGTCCATGGGAGTGGTTTAGAGAGGAAGAAAGTGAAAAGAAAAGAAGAAATTGGAGAGTGGGATCGAGGGAGGGCTCCGTGTGTGTGTGTATGTGTGTTGGGTGTTTGTATGTGTGTCACTTTTACAGAAAAGTAGGGATCACAGTGTATGTGTTATGACAAATATGTATATGTGTGAATGATAGAATGTAGAGTTATTGTGGATGGTGGACAGGCAGAAACACCTCTATGAAATCGGAGTTGAAATTAGGAATTTAGTGTACAGATGAATGTGTTCAAAATAATGTCTAAGTCAACAGTTTGTTAATATTGAGACAAGTAGTTCCAGAAACGTCAGTGACTTTATAAGTAAAGTATGCTAGCTAATGTTAGCCTCAAACAAGGACTTCCACTCTGAAGCCAACACTAAAGTACCAAATACTGCCATTCTTGTAATGGCCACTAGAGTCTGGCTCCAGCAGTGAGTCAATCTCCATAAGGCTCCATATTAAAAAGCCCAACTTTACAGCAGAAATAAACATGTTTACAGCCTGCTACAGAAAACGCTTTTGGTCTTGATAACTAATTTACTGTTTCTGGGTGAACTTTGGTATAAATTACTCTTTTAAATTATATTAAGGCTTAAAGATATACATAATTAAAGGTGTGGCTGCTTTGAGTGATAGGTGGTTGCTGTCACAGTCCGCTGTTTTCAGGAACCAGGCTTCATCCAGCCCGCCTCAGCTCCAACCACGCTCCACCTCCACCTTATATTTGCTAAATCTTTCACTATATCCTGCCAGTAGTATATGAGACAGATAATCTGTGAAAAAATCCGGTTCCTCTAGCTCCTCCTAGTGCTCCTAATGGCATTGTAATAATCCAGCGGGCCTTTACGAAAACAACCAATCAGAGCCAAGAAAGCTAGTTGATTGTTGAGTCTCATTTCCAGGGTACCAAGAGACAACAAGTGACTATCTTCAAGCCTCCAACCCGAAGCATCTTACTATGTTTCTCCGCTATGATTGGTGGTTGTTTTCGAGCACTATAAGGAGCCAGAGGAACCTGATTTTTTCACAGATCATCTGTCTCATGTACTGCTGTCAGGATATAGTGAACATTTGCTTTCTTCTGGTGAACAGTTCAGTTCAATCTTAATTGTCTCTCGAGGGAAAATTTGTGCTATAACCTAATCACAATGAATTTAGAAAATGAGATACAATGAAAAATAAATGGTATCACCAATATAAACTGTTAATAATTCTGCTGCTGCAGACAACAGAGGAGACTTAGACAGACGATCATGTTGCCTCTTTTTACTTAACAGGTGTGGATGTCTTATTTACATGATAATAAGGGCAGCCTCTTAATTTCTTGGAAGAAATGTGGGAAGAGTTCATTAATGCACATAAGAGCCAGAAGTATTTACTGATGACAAAAACCTGGACATCAGCATGTTACTGTATCATTGTCATTGGCTGTATTTCCATCAACGTATTTTGAAGTGTCACGTTCAAAAAGGTGCAAAATTCAACAAAAGTTTGGCAAAATGTTTTTATGCTCACTGGAGGTGGTTTTTGCCTTTTTCGAAAAAGAGTTAATGCCCTCAGTGGAAGACTGAAATGCTTTTTCCAATTAATATGACCATTGACAGTATACATAATAGACTGAGCTCCTGGGTCTGTAAAGTGCCGCCAACGTGAAAGTATCTTTCTAATGGCCAGCATGGGGTGCTCCATGGGCAAAAAAAAGACATATGGAACTCTTATGGAGAAATAAGCCCGACTTCTGACTTGATTTATTAGCTCAGTAAACAGTTTCCTAATGAGTTTATGGTCTCACCATTTAGAGTAAAATAGACGAGAAAGCAGGGTATGTTTTAGGGCATGGCTACCTTGACAAGTCATTCTCTATCTTTATTGGATTGTTTTTTCACAGATTTTCCGTGTTATGTACTACTGTCAGGATATAGTGAAAGTTTCAGTAAATATAACAAAAAGTTATTTTTATAAAAGTTACCTACTGCAGCTTTAAATAGTTATTAGATTAAGGGTCATGAATGCTACCTGTCAACAAAGACTATCATGGTTTGGGCTACTGCATTCAGACTGTTTATAAAATCACAGTTTTCATCGATCACAACTGTAATTGTACAATTTTATGAGAAGAAACAAGTATTTTATTCAATGCAATCATCTGAGATGACAGAAAGTTGGCAAAAGAGGTCGTCACGTCCAACCAACTCATAAGCTTTGTTCCCCTACTGCACTTTAACATGAGGCTGCTGTTTGCAGTGTTTGTGAAAAACTCCATTTACAAAGATGGAAACACTTGCTCTGGATGGAATCCCAAAATAAAGACAAAGAGATGCCTCTCCAAATGTATCTGCATTATTGTAGACAGCCTTATCAATAGCAACACAAGTTTGTTTTTATATTGTGTCAATAATCCATGTGCTTCTCAGGGAGTGTGTACAGCATCCTCGACCAAGG